AAATCTTAAAGTAAACAGTTCCTTAAGTCATCAACATCGATGCTGACGTCATTAGTTTCACTGGAAATACACTAGCTGAAGGCGCTCGATCATGCATCCGAACCAGGTCACGGGTGAGTACGCCGTGTTACACATCTCCCACAACCATCAGCCAGCTTAGATAAACGCTTCTCGATATACCGATAGCATTTTAAATATATCTCCGAACCTCATCACTTCTGACTTCTGATTTGATTGGGTTGGCATACTTAGATTGCTACGGGTGAAAACATTATCAAACTCCGAATACCAGTGGCATCTTTGTAACTGTTTAAAGTTCTGTATAGTCCTATTGGAATAGAATGCGTTGAAAATTATTGAGTTCCTCATATGAGCAACGTTAGGTTGGTGGCAAGAGTAGTGGTAATACAGTGGTTGTTGCCAGTGAGTCCCCCTCGATCACTTGAAAAGAGAAACCGGACTGATAGTGAACAGGTCTTTAGTTAGGTTGTAGAATAGAACAGTCGGAGCATGAGGTTGTCTTTTATCAAACGCAAAATTTCTCAACATTCATTATAAAATAATTGAACGTTTAGTGCCTATACAGAATAAGTTAGCGAATAGTTACTCGGAATTTAATGTTTTGACATTACTAACATGTTTGCGACCGACTCTTAACTGATAAATCCAAGTCGTTGCAGTTGTACGGTACGTGTATGTGGTGTTTGAATGACCTAATGATACCTTTGTACTTGTTGAATGCTTGATTTCGAATTCCAAATACAATACATTCGTTCGTGCTTGTGTCTTACTTCTTAATTCAATTGCATTATTTCTGGGATTCCTAGTTCATACTACAATTCAAATAATTGAAATACTATAATGGCGTCGCGATGGAGCCTGCGATGGAAAAGTTAGATATTCGTTCAACTGCTGGGGCTTTTGAGGATTACTTTGAAAGGTTCGAAATCTGGGTTATGACTAAGGATGATGAGGATGTTAATATTGTGGCACATTTCTTCACATTCATTGGAAAAGAAGCATACAGCTTATTAAGAACTCTGGCTATGCTGGAAAAGCTTATCTCGCTTTCTTATACAACTCTCAAGGAACTGCTGCTAGACTATGTTAATTATACATATTTCGAATGCAGTAAAGGAGGGAGATCTCGTAAACTGATTCATGAGGATATAAAAATTCCACTACACTACTACGTCATCCCAACCCAGTGCATACTCAAGGTTATGCAGATAATTCATTGAGTTTGGATGCAGTTCACGAGGATGGAGATAAGTTTGATCAGTGTTTGTCCTGTTGCATGTTCCACTCTTTTAATCCATGTAAATTTCGTAATTCTAAGTGTATTAAATGTGGTGATATTGGACATATTCAGTCAGTCTGTAATACTAATGTTCATCTTATTGCAACTACTAGTAAGACTTTTAATTCTGATTCTACTTAGTCGAGTATTTATAATGATGATTTATCTTTATCAACGATTTCAAATGACAGTGTAGAGTCATGTGGCAGTTCAGACGAAATTTCTGACGAAATTTACAAATCTGAAGAAAATATGTTGAGTGAACATAATTATGATCGAAAACCTGATGTAGCTTTGATAGATGCTAATTTTTCTAATGATTCATTACTCTTCAATGACATTTTTAATGAATTTCATGAGAATGTTTCAGAAAAATCAAATCCTGATATCATATCATATATTACATATCCTCATAATGCATTTGATCCTTGTGAAAAACCTGTTCAATGTGAAACACGAGTACTAAGTGACCTCGATTTTGATTACAATTCGGATGGTTTAATATCAACTGATGTTCATCCTTACCACAAATCCACTTCCCATGCATACTCTAATCAATGTGAGAAATATGTTTTAAATGAAGCCACATTATTCATAACTTGGGGATATAAAGATCCAACATTATTTCACGGGAGAGGATGGTGTTGTAAAATCTATGGTTCCAATTCTAGATATTAATGATTTCATTACAAAACCGACATGCTGATTGTATACAATTCCAGGTGAGTCTGTTTCGATTTCGTTTGTTAATTCCAATACTAATGAGCATATTCTAGATACTACAAAGTTTTTATCTAATACAATGTCGGACAGACTCAGGATGAACTCAAGAAGAAGACATACAGCCATTACAGACACTTATACACCTATTTAAGCTGTGGCGGATGCTGCGTTTGAATTGAATAATGATACCTTGGTACTAGTTGAATGCTCGATTTCGAATTCTAAATACAATACATTCGTTCGTGCTTGTGTCTTACTTCTTAATTCAATTGCGTTATTTCTGGGATTCCTAGTTCATACTACAATTCAAATAATTCAAATATTATAGTGTACTGTAAATTGGTTTCCATATTCGTACTGTTATTAGTCGAAAATAGAAAGTCAGTTGATTTCATAAGAAATCGCGAGGGTCTAATTTGAGTTATGTCCATATTTAGTAGAGCAGAAGTGTAGTCCAGGAACAAAAGAAATTGCAAATCCGTCTCACCATTGTCCTAATAAACTGCTACAAAATCGCTTGAATTGAGTTCCGTAGATTTTCGGAACTTGTCAACGATATCAGTGTGACGGCAACCTTGAGGTGTACATTTTTCCCTTTAAATTTCACATAAAGCCTTTTGTAAATGATCCAAAATTTCACATATAATGGCCCGTAATAAACTAGATCGTCTTCACAAACCCTTCAGATTTATTAGATAAATTTAAAATAGTTGAAATTGTCAATTGCCTTGTTCCCTTCGAAGAATCGTCCACTCTTCGCCGTACACTTTGGATAATTTCGGTTCAGTGACTAATATTCACACTCTATTAGACTGACAACAGTTAGAAAACTAAGATTGTGTGGTAATTTTACTCATAAGGTCTGGATGGGTATGAACACAAGCCTTCAGTGTTTACAAATAACGGAGGAGAAATCTAGAGAAATATATGAGTGTAATGATTTTGGCTGGATGAAGGACGAACCCTTTTATGATACGCTCTCCATGCGTGCATTTATCAATTACCATGTCTTATTTCTAGGAATGTAATCTATCTGTATTTGTAACAAAGTGTAGGTACTAGCCTACATAAAAGATATTTCTGTAAGCAACCCTATGTACTGTTTTAGAAAGACACATGTCCAAAAAAAGTGGAATATTCGCATTAAGAGCGACGGAGGAAAATTCGCTAGCTTATTTAAAAGAGACTGAAAAATGCTATTATTCTTAATTTAGTGAAGAATACTACATAAAGTTTTATTCTTCAGTCCCTCCAGTAATTATTAACAAAGCCCTCAAAGTCTTGAAAAGTCAGAAGTTGCAAATTTATGCAATCAAAGACTAGTCCTTTCATTTCAAATACGGGAACTTATGAACCAGAAGTATGCAGCTTATTTCTAAGGTAATCTTAGATAATCTAAGGTAAATCTGCCCGTCAGTCTATATACATCCCCCACACACTGGACAGCATGGCCATTAAAGAACTCAATGTCTTTGGTCTGCTAAATAAGCTTGACATAGGCAAATCCACGGGGCCCGATGAACTGCATCCTAGGTTACTAAAGGAATTGGCTAACTTCAAGTATATGCTTTAACCTGTCCGTAACCTAGGGTCATTTACCAAAAAACTGTAAGAACGCCATAGTAACTCCTGTCTACAAAACAAGTACGCAACATAAACCTGGGAACTACCGACCCGTTTGCCTAACTGGTGTGTTATTGTTAAAATTTTAGAAAAGATTATTCAGAAGGAGCTTTTTAAGTATCTCGATGAAAATCGGATCCTTTCGGAAAAGCAGCATGGTTTTAGATTAGGTTATTTTTGTCTCGATAACTTATAAGTCGCTCGTGAAAGCTAATGCTCTCTTAAGGACTGAAAGTTACCTGTAGACGTAGTCTGTATTAACTTCTGTAGAGCTTTTGGTGAAGCTGTGCACAACTGGCTGTTATGTAAGTTTAGAAATGTCGGGGTTGAAGGCAGTCTATAGATGTGGATAAAAAGCTTCCTAGTTGGGCGCCAACAAAGAGTTCGAGTGAACTCCAAGTTGTTTAGCTGAGAAACTGTTCTTAGCGGATTGCCTCAGGGTACAGCTTTGAGGCCACTGTTATTCCTCTTGTATGTAAATGACCTTCCTCGTCTCTTATCATCATCGGTCTTGCTATATTCTGACGATGTTAAGATATGGAGAGCGATACGAAGTAAGGGTGATAGCTTAGAACTCCAACATGACGTGGAGAAATTATCCGAATGGTGTCAAACCTAACAGTTGCTGATAAATACTTCCAAGTGTGCTGTGATGCTTATTGGTCTTCAAGGTGCAGATACATACACGATGAATAACACCGAGCCACCTGTTGTTCAGACGCACAATGATTTAGGAGTCATCGTTAGCTAGGACTTAAAGACTACTGCACACTGCCGTGCAGTAGTCGCTAAGGGTTTTAGAACTGTTTGTTCAATACGTAGCGCCTTTAGTCATGTTGACGCTAAAACATTTTTGACTTTGTATACAGTATTCGTACGTCCTAAACTTGAGTACTGCATACAAGCAGCTAGACCCTGCCTAAAAAGACAGTAAGCCTTTGGAAAAGATTCAGAGAGCAGCGACTAAACTGATTCCCGGAATAGCGAAGCTCCTGTATGATGATCGACTGGCCAAGCTAAATCTATTCCTGTTGTTATATAGAAGAACTAGAGGTGACTTGATTACAGTTTTCAAATTCATTAGTGATAAATTTGCACCAGATATGCCCTCATTTTTCTTGTCTTCCAAAACAGAGAATTTAAGAGGATACTCTAGAAAAGTTCACAAGCCCAGAACAAATTACTTGTCAGCTGACTATCGACTTTCCCATCGAATCATCAACAAGTGGAATTCATTGTCTCAGCACGTGGTAGAGTCTCCTTCCGTCAACTGTTTCAGTGGAAAGTTGGATCAATCGAGAGACCGTCATTGCCAGGACAAACAAAAGCCACCAAGCCTCCTGCCCTTTCCAAACTGAAATTGAAATTAGCCCGTAACGAAGTAACTGAACATTGAAGTGGGAGCGTCAACCTATGCGTTACCGGGATGTCTTCACTGTCGTTTGTACCTCACACTGTTTCTTCAGTTTCTGGACACAAAAGGAAGCACGAAAAAACCCATAAAAAATCCTCAAAAAGGATCAAGCGTAGTGAAGGGGTACATCAGTGTTTAATTCTTCATTTTTCATAAGTCAGATGAAGAGCAAGTGTATACTGGGAATGGAGCCGTTTACAATGATCAGAATGAAGACACCAGAAGTCGATCATGCCCATACCTGGATACTATTAGGAGGAACATGCTGGATTTTGACTTTGAGAAGCTGTGTTCCGTTTCTTTATCTCATCTGAATGTCTACGCCTGTCTAATCTGTGGAAAGTACTTTCAGGTAATTTTATTCCAAGTTCCTTCATAATGAATAGTAATGCATATGGTTCCTGCCAACAACTCAAATGTGTACTATTTGTTCTGCAAACGAAAACTTCGGTAGCTCTTGGGCGTCTTGGCTCCTGATAAATAAACTAGCTTTTGACCCTGCTAAATATCGTACAACTTCGAAAACCTTAATCTTGACTCCGAAAAATTTCCTTATTGTACTGATGCCGTTTTTTCTTACCGAGTTTAGGCTGGCAATGTCAAGATTGTCTATTGACTTTATTGTATCACTGTTTGCAACCACTTCAATTTTGCATAAACTGATTTTGTTACCTTACTTGGATTCCTGAATTGTACAGAGATTTGAGTTAATAATGTGTCAGTGTTCTACAGATTTGTTGTTCGTAGAGACTTAGTGAAGCATTCCGGTAAGCTTTAACTGTGATTGTATTGACTGAAGATAGCAAGATTTTCATCCGTCCAATGTAACTTATATTTCAACAATACGTTTTCACACTTTTTGCCATCGTTGTGTTGGAAATACCGATCTAGTTAGTTGATATTGACCGTGTGATACCTTGATGATATTACTAGCCTTCACACTGTGACTCAGCTATATTTACATGTGCTTGGTCAGTGGGTTATATTAGGTGCTTGCGTAGTCGTTAAGGCACTTGGCGTCCAATCAATCGATTCTAATCTCTCTCTCTGCCCACTTTACGTTGGGTATTTGGGTATCATCACTAAGCCTCACACAAGAGTGTGGTTCAAAGTCTAGTGTATGAACGTTTGCGTGTTTAATAAGTTACGGTGTTTTGTTTTATTATGGTGGAGCTGCATGACAGTTTATTCGTCACTTCAAGTAAATTGAACCAACAGCTCCGCATGATGAATTGCATTTAAACACATTGGAATTCGCAATCAATCAAATTTAACCTAATCATTTCGTTTCTTAAATTCAAAACGCACAGTAATAAATGGAAATACTTATCATAAATGTTTTATATCTTAGGGTCGTGGAAATTCTACTCATGCATATACCCACAGTGTTAGTGAAAGCCACCACGTCTTCCTGAATTTGGAAACTCGACGGTTTTATTGCTTGCCCGATGATTATGAAATTTTAGATGGGTCATTGGAAGACATTACCTACCTACTAAATCCTACTTTCAGTACTCCAGAAATACTTGCTTTGGATAGTTATTCGAAAATGGTCAGAGCATACAATGGTCTTACATATTATCCTGGTGTTGTGGGTCTCAATAATATCAAGGTAGGTTAATTTGTCAATGGCAGTAATAAATCAAGTAAATAAATCAACCAAATCCCTGGTACTGATAACCCTCTATTTTCTGTTCAGGCTAATGATTATTGCAACGTCATATTACAAATGCTCAGTCATATCAGTCCATTGCGAAATTATTTCTTAGATATCAAAAACTTTGAGAACCTACCTTCTGTCTCTGGAGATCAAATGATGCTTTTGGTCCAAAGATTTAGTGAACTTATTCGAAAATTGTGGAATCCTCGAAACTTCAAAACCCACGTTTCACCTCATGAATTCTTACAGGTAAGCTTATTTCTCTCTTTCAGTTTTCTGATTTTTAGATAGTTCTTTATTTCCTTAGCAATGATGATATTCTTCGGTGTTATCCATATTCTAACAGGTTTTTAGCCGTACACAGAGTAAACGTAACTACTACTTTTTTAATGATTTTTAACAATCTTAAGCTTTATCATTAAATTACCTAATAAGTATTGATCCTGTTATGACTTTCGGAATTATGCATTTTGACTTAGGATCTTGAGAACATCTAGGATTTATAGCTATGATTAGTTGTTTGAAATGCACAAAATTTAATTACTGAATTTAATAGTTAACCATAGGTCGAACGATGCCTCTTCCTACACAGGTTTGAGTATCTTGAAAGGGGTGGTTACTTTTTCACGCAATATTTATCTCTTAGTGTGTATTTGAACTTTACATTTGGCTTGTCTTTTGTCTTATTATTTTAATAATTCGTAAATGGTACTGCCAATTAACCAAATAATAAAGTCCTCAGTTTTCCTATTTGTATTAATAACGTTCTAGTCATTATCAGGTTTAATATCTTAACTGTTCAGTAATTAGGATACATACAATTATGTTTTAATATAATGGGAATTTTTCAGCGACCAAAGTTTTGTGATCAACCCATTGCGTTGAAGGCACTCAATGAGTTCCTGAAGTATAACGCAAAGTTCACAGAAACGAAAACACCAAGTTCATACAACTATGTTTTAATTAGGATGTGTTTAAAATTATATATCTCGTTTTTTATTTCTCCTACAGGCAGTTGTGCTGTGCAGTAAAAAGCGTTTCCAAATCACTGAACAAGGCGATGCCATTGAATTCCTTTCATGGTTGGTTAATGCAATAGATAAAGCTTTAAGGATTAAAAAAATTCCGTGTCCCATAGGCGCAGTTAATAAAACCTATAAAAGCATTGTTTCATCAACTTTACGAGGAAAGATGAGAATGTACAGTCGGAAAATCATGCCTGTAAATATGACGGATGAAGAAAAGGCTTCTCTGGCAGACAGCCCTGAATACATGGTATTGTATTTGTTTAAATATGGTATAACTGTTTTTCATAATGACTGATCTGTGTGAAAGGTTTCAGGCATAATTACTAATTCTGGCTGACGTCCAATAGGGTGGTTAGCGATTACAGATATCATATCGATGAAGTGTCTGCATGATGATTGTGAGCAGTAGTGACGAAAGAGATAAATAATAGTTTACGACCGTTTGTTATATTGCTTGTACGAAAGGCTTTCACTGTTTATCAATAGGAAAATTACTATGAAAAAAAAGAAAGCTATACATCTCGGCGAAAAATTATGAAGGAAAATTACTCTTGCTATGATGTCATAATTCTCTGCACAAATATGTGTTTAGAATAAAAATATTTGAAGAGTATTGCTCCTGTGTGTAAAATCGATGCTTGTCTGAAAAGCCGACGAATCTTATGATGCAACATAATTACCTAACCACCTCTTTTCTAATATCGTTTAATTAAGTTAAACACTGAGAATAAGCGGTGGGATATAGAGGTTTAACTATTTTGGAAAATCTAGTTGCTTATCCCTTTGAGGTATGGTGCCAAAAACGTGTTCATTAGTTTTCATGAATTGTATTAATTTCAGGGTTAGTTGACTCAATCTGTGCTACATCTTTTGGCCGCCCATTGCACGTTTTAAAGCAAATAGAATAATCTGTTCTTTGAAGTATCCTGAACTTTTTCTAAGAACTTGATTATTTAATTACACATATGTATTTTAAGCGTATCTCACCAATTCATAACTGTTACATAGCCATTTAACAGGTCTATCCGACAAAGTGGGCGCCCCCCTTCATCTTCGCCTGCACGAACATCAATTAACGATCAAACGCCATGACATATCCTCACTTATATCAATGTATGTGGACATACATTCGACTGGAAAAATGTTGAGATCTTTGATAGAGGGAATTCTGAAAACACCAGAGAACTTTTAGAAGCTTAGCACTCAGGTCAATCAGCAAACATTGAAATCAACCCAATTTATCAACCAATCAGGAAAATTACGAACAAATATAGGGCCAAGAATCAAATAAATGGGAGGTACAATCAAAACAAAGAAGTGAACAATGATAAGTTAATGGTACACAAAAACCAATCAACATTGAGGCGTACAGAACAAGCTGTGGGTCATATGTGGAGAAATTCGAACAGTTCACTCCCACTTGACTTTGGTGCTGATGATGTCGTGTAGAAGAACAACGAAGGCTTCGCGACCAAACCATTCATCTCAGAAAACAAAACTTCAACAAAAACGTTATGTATTTGTCCAGAGACTTGAGTTGCAATAGTTCAAAAGTTTCCTAACGATTAGAAGGTTGCAGATATTTAGCGATCAGAAATAGAAGCCTTCCTTTCAGAAATACAGCTTGGTACACTTTTTAAGAGCTAGTGATCAACGTGACCATGTCCTATCTTGTGCATAACGGACAACAAAAGATCCCTCATTTGAATATTTAGCATACCAACTTTTCCACGATTTTCTGAAGACTGGGACCAAAGTGCTGTCTAGCAAACATATGTGCTGTCAACAAAATTTACATAAAATGCAAGATACCAGTAGTAACTGAGACAAGTCGGTTGTACCATGTATCTTTTTATATGTAAGCTACTGGTAGTTTCCCCTTACTATGAGAAATTTCCATTTTTCACATCACAATATCTTAGTATTATCCAATTCTCGATAATCCTGTCAATATTTCTTCTTTTCCAGACTTCAATATCAGACATAAATTTCTTCTATCTTACGTGTGACTTACCCCCACCTCCACTATATCTAGATGAATTTAAGGAAAACATCATTCCACAAGTTTCATTAGCTACACTACTTTCGAAATTTAACGGAGTTACAGAAAAGGAATACAAGACTCATCGTGATTCTACGTTGCGTCGATTTGAGCTTCGGCGACTACCTCCTTACTTAATTCTTTACATGAAGAGGTTTGTTAAAAACATCTTTACATTGGAGAAGAATCCAACGATAGTTAACTTCCCCATTAGAAGTATTGATTTCGGTGAATTGTTGGCCCCAGAATTTCGAGCTAAACATCGGTAGGCTTAACTGTTTTACTTAACGTTACTTTTTAATCACTTGACTATATAATGTATTTTCACAAACCAATCAACTGTAGTAGGTCAATTATCAACAAGAGTCCGAGCTTCATATTTAAACGTAGAATTTAAAACGGGGATATTTACTGCTGTGGTGATGAAATTTCTGTTGTTTTAATTACCTGTAGATTGTAGCTTTTCAGAAGACGATATGAATGTTGGCCAAAATGTGAGCAAATATGACTTAAGCGTATAACGTCTTCAGAAAGCTGTGTACTGATTTTACTCAATGTTGTAAGGGCTATTTCAAACATCCTCAAGTTTACAATTAACTCGCCACTCTCAATGATAGCTATTCCAGACAAAATGTTTTTTATTACTCTCCATTAAATTTAAGTATATTTATACTGCTACTACTTATCGCATCTTCGACAATCATCGCCAACGCTTAATTCAAAGATTCCGTCGATTTTTACCTCATATGTTTGTTGTTGTACTTTAAATCAAGCTAAACAAATTATCATGTATCTATCGTTACAATGAGACTTTTGACTTCAGGTTCGTTAGAAACACTGTTCGTATAAAGTTAAAGGATCTTGAAAACTAGTCTCTGTTTGCAATTAATTCAATGAGCAAAGATGTTAACAAGACTATATGGATTGAGATAGTAAACTAAAAGTTATACTGATTTTCTAGACTTGGAGCACTTTAACTTTATGGTTGGTATCTGTGCACATGATATACGTATAATCCAGTGGCATTTTACAATTTGAATCGTGGAACTTTAGTTTGTTGTAATAGTTCCTGTCATGTTTTTAGAATAGTGACGTAAGGGAAAGCAACAACCGTTTGGTTTTTGAGCCTTAGTCATATAAATATCATTAAGATTGGTTTCTTCATAAGCACTATTGTCTTGATACGTTTTGTCTCAGGATAAAACAATCTTGGATGCATATCAAAACAACAAACTCCTGACACTCATCTCCCGTTTTCGATCTTTATTATTCGATAAATTTATCACTGTCTACTTGTAGCATAAACCATATTTACCTCCATTTAAACTTCATTTAGGAAATCTATTCGTATGAACGTAATAATTTTGTTTTTCAAGCCCAATATAAAAAATCTAGGTTCTTGGCATTGATTGTCTTTCTCTGAACCTTGAATAGGCATACTACTTACGACTTGATAGCCAATATTGTGCATGATGGTCCCCCAACTCCTGGCTCCGGTACGCATCGTATCCACTTAGTACATCGTGGTACTGGAAAATGGTTCGAGCTACAAGACTTGCATGTTAGCGAAGTCTTGCCACAGATGATACCGCTTAGTGAAACTCTTATTCAGGTAAGTAATATTCATTTCATATTTTTTAAAACGGAAATGTTTTCAATAAGTGATTTATAATCTATGTAACAATCCTTTACTAAAACTTCAATCATATTTCTTTTACTTTTAACTAGGTTTGGGCTGTGAATAAGTCTATACCTAATCCAAGCTTTGTAGAGCCTGTAAAAGTAATAGATGAGGAGATTGGTGAAGAAACTAAGCCAGAGGTTAAAACTGATGAAAACGAGGAGTGTGAAGAAATTAAGAAGGAAGATACTATAGATACGGGCAATAATAAACCACAAAACTGATTCCTGTCACTTTTTATCGACTTTACCAATAATATAAATTACTGATAAATATTAAGACTTACGTGTTTGTGAACGGAATCGGAAGAGTATCACCCGATTACGCGCGAAGACTAACCGATTTTCATCACATGACTCGGATGAATTTTTTCGGAGGATGGAGTTTCCTGTCTTGCCATACGATCACTGCTGCACCTTTGAGATGACGTTTGACACAGTAGCACCCTCAAAAAGTCCATACTGTTACTGCAGCACGCATTAAATCAAACTGTGGGTCGGCACTACACTAAACCCATTTACTAAGTACTATTTAGAAACTACTTTACTTACTACAGGCTGAATAGTACTATTTGTTATAACAGAAGTATCGTTGGCGGTCTGGTAACTTAATCCATGGTTCAAGTATTCAAACAAACTTCGTAAACGTTATTCTTGGAATCAATAGGTAACTAGTTCGTTTCGAAATACTAATGCACTAAGCAAATCGAACCTAAAAATAAGAGTACAGAGCTCCTTCATATAACACCGCTTTTTTGTTAGAATTTCCACGCTGCCACCAGAAGTTGGGACGGTGTAGTTCGTTGTAAAGATTGAAATTCGGAAGTCAGTTTTATTAAGAATATACTTGTAAACACAGATAAAGATGGTCATATAACAATTGGAATGTATACTTGGTAGTCACATGAAGCTAAATATTTGAGATCAGTTTCTAAATATAATATTGCACTTCAATAAAAGTAAGCTTGTAGATTAATGGGATCGAATTCTAGGTTGTATTGCGGGGGGACTCTTCTTCAACTGCAGAAGGAGCACACGCATCCTGTTCAAGTCTCGCTGATTATCCTTCGTATTTATCGGGACGGTGTGAATGTTTGTTGTTTCTTCGTTACCAGAAGTGACGAAATTACACAACTGGCAAACTTTTTCCCATAAAACAGCTTGGCCAGCGTCCACCTGTGACATTCTGGCTGATGCTTCTGCAGCCTTTTGTCGAGCACTTTGAAGTTCTTTGTCATGAGCGCGGCTGAGTTTTTGTCCTCGCGCAAGAGAATCGCGGTACTGAAGTGCCCACTCATGCAAATCCTTTTTAAAGAAACAAAGACAGCAGTGTACCATAGAGACAAATACACATATATGTAGCCCTATAGGTGCAAAATATACTAAGCATCAAAAATATGGGTCTAATGTTATTTGGGGAATTATAATTTTTAGACGAACTAACCAGATTTAAGATGACAGGTCTTGGATTATAACGCGAAATTTACTCAACAAAAGGCCAAATGGTATGTTGGCGTCATAGCTGACGATGAAGACCCTAACGCCCAACTGTAAATCCTGATTCCACACTTAAATGCAGTAAGTAGACGGCCGTTCTCAAGGTCGGCTATACATTATAAACTCGCAGTAATTTGATGGGTAGACGTTTGTGGTGTTTAGACTAGTAAATCGAAGGGAACTTTGCTTCCCCCGATCAATTTCATGATAGACACATACATCGTATATTAGCATGTTTGTTCTTTCTCCTTTGTCTACAAGCATTGTTATTTTCACTTTTTATACATGCCTGGTCTTGCTGAGGTTCAGCTACGGTGCCGTGAATAACGAGGACTTGAAGTGAAGTATTCTTATATCTAGTCTTGGGTTGTAGCATCCTTTTGGGTAATTCCTAAACTCTTTATGTGAGTAAAGTCGAAGGATCCAGCATCAAGTCACACAAATCAGCACTTGTGAGATTACTTGTCCGTAATATATGATTGTTAATTAAACGGAATTTGTTTTCAGCACTATTGAAACTAAGTAATAACGATATGTCTAAAACTACTATTGTATACAACTAATATAATCTTTAACATCAAGAAATCAACTGGGGATATCGAATAAGTCTAGAAGTATAAGTTTATATTGATTATCCGTTTCCTTGCTATGATTTTAAGCTCGGAATGACTGGTTGTGTCGAAAACCTCGAGGCCATGTGAAGAATATTCCCCAGTAAAGTGGCTCAAGGGTTTACCTATCGTACATGTCTTTTGGTATTCTGAATGTCGCATCAAACAACTGGAGAATTTTTCACGTTATTAAAATATAAATAGGTTTTACTTTTGAATAATATAGTTTGAAAGTTCAGTGTATAGTACGTTTACGGTATAACTATTTTAGTTTCTAACTGACATGAACTTGGGAGCAAAGTGTATTGGCCCTGTATGCACTGAAAGTATCGAAACACGGATATACATACGTGAGTCAGAAAGCCACTCAGGATAAAATGGTGAAAGTCCTATAAGAACGTGGGGCAAATAACTACAAAACATTGAGACCTAATTACATCTTCAATCAAGTTAGGTTTTTTCAGAGGAGAAATCTGTTAAGATCGACGTGCAGCATCATATTTCACCACACAAAACTTTCGTGTAGAGTTGGGAGAAGCAATGGTAGTACTTGCCGGAAACCAAGCAAACTAATTTGGGGGCGTAACCCTGACTCATCCGTCTTTTTTAAAAAGTTTGTACTGGTTGCATATTAGACAATTGTCCAAAATGAAGGAAGGATTTATAGTTATGAGCGACTACGTATATAAAAAGGAGTACGGTCAAACTACACATTGAAAATTACTTTGAGTCCTTGTTCTTCTAGCATGAACATGCTTTTACGTTCAGCATCGTCTTTGACCTCTATCCGCTTCTTAAAACTTATGGCCCAAAGTTTTACACACTCCGGTTCCTCGTTTACTTGAAGGTGTTCAGCAGCATTATTCTCACCTAAATAATATGGTGTTTTTGAGTGTAGTACAAACCATTTGGTGTAAAGTCTAAATCGTCTTCTAGCCCGCGCAATTCTTCCTTTTCTCTTGCTAGGAATTCATGAAGAGCACCATCTGCTGACATTTTCAAACACAACACACCAAGCACTGACCTTGTCGTCATATTACGCCATTAACCTAGTCAAAACAGATCATAAATAGCCCGATATATATCCAGCTAAGATTGATTCCATTTTTGATACTAATAGTATTGGGACATCTAGTCTGTTATATGGTCATGTTGTAATCTTGTACATTTTAAACGTTCATTATCACGTTTCTGTAACAAACAATACTCGAAAGGACATTACTTTGAGATAGAAAACATACGATATTCCTGAAAAATACATGAAAACATATTGGTTTCAGGTTGAAGGCTGCGAAATTTACTGATAAAAGAGCGTGCGATCACAAATCGTGATTCAGAATGTATGTTTCCTGTTCTCTTTAAATCCAACGATACAGAAGACTACACTTAACTGTTCTCTTTCTTAAATCCATATAATATTCCAACTCGTAATTTTTCCTCTCACAATCTTGAAGTACCAAAGCAACGTTAATGTATTTTAGTGACTAAAAACGCTTAGTTAAAGTAGGTCTCATGAGACTATCACTTCGTCACTACTGTGTGGTCGGATTGGGATTACCAATTGTAGCGTGGCGTCGAGTTGAGATTAACTATGAACACCGCTACCAAGATATACGTGCCAAATAGATCAGAAGGCGTAAGAAGCTCGTTCCAAATGACTCCATGAAATCCCCGAGAAGCCAAATATCAGAAGGCAATTAATGGACCAAGTCGATGTTTATTTGCTGGCGATCTCGTGGCATCGAAAGGATACCGAGATCGTGCCAGGATACAAGCTTGGTTACAGAACGTAACCGAATTCGCGCGAAGTTACAATCAAAGTGTAAGTAAAGAATGGAAGAACAAAATAGCTGTCATTAGCACAGTCAAACAAAAGCACATTAAAACAGTCACTGGTACACTTGGTTATAATAATAATTGTTTTTATTAAACCAGTCGTGTTCTCGTGATAAATGTGAGTCACTACAGGAGCCCCCCGCTAGAAAGGGTTTACACTTTCGATAAATAGCGGTTTGAATCGTGGGACTGATCGGCTGACGAGCGATTGTAGGACGGAAAGATTGGCGAACAGGAAAGCGATCGTTGATCGTCGAGTTGCCAACGAAGGTCGTTTTCGGAGAACAGTACCAGGAGCGATGTGTTGTATTGATTGCTCGAGTTGGCATGCTACACGAGAGTGGTTTGTATCCAGAATCTGAAGAGGGCGTTCGTAGGGTGCGGACCAGGAACGCTGCAGACGAAGGACGAAACCACGTTGAGCCAAAAGACCAGAAGCGACCGTAACGACCAAGTTCGAGACCGAGCGTTCGAAACCAATATATCGACTGAGTGCGTTGACAAGAGCATGGGTGGCCAATCCAGCTTTCGCCAAAGTTGACTGAAGTCGACGGAACCAAACGGAGATGGTCGAAGGCGTGGGCTCAGGAAACAAAAAGAAAATCAAAAAAGAAGAGTGTAGCATACGTGTAGTGTAGGAATAATCCTACACCGTATCGGTAGCTGACTGTGCGACTATTCGCGGAAGCGTACGGGTAACCGTACTCGGCGACCGGAACGTGAGACGGCAGTCTCGTTCGCGTCGCGTGAGCCTGCAATCTCATCCGAGGTCAGAGGCGGCGTGGTCTGCTGATCTGGACGTGAGACTATCGTCTCGTCCGTAGACGGTGCAGATGACGCGTGCTGTTGACCGGGACGTGAGAATGAGGTCTCAGATGCATCTAGCGTGGGACCTGAAGATTTAAGGATCCCGCTAGGTTTAATAGGTCTAGCATTGAATCTCAGGTTACCAGATAGGGCACTGTCATCGACGTGTGCTGGTTTGAGACGATCAATGCTGACGACCTCGACGCGTCCATGTCGATCAACCTTGAAGGTCTTTTCGTGACGAGCGATCACGTGAAAAGGGCCTTCGTAAGGTTTTTGCCAAGGTTTGCGTACCGAATCTACTCGTACAAAAACATGTGAACAGGTAGATAACTCTCGAGGGAGAGCGACCTGTCGATGTTGTATTCGAGTTTACACCGGAGACAGCGTTCACATAAATGCAGACAGTCGACGGACGTTGTCTGATTTACCGAAATTAGGTCTGCTCCGTGGTGTGAAGGATTCTCCAGGCAGACGCAATGTCGTGCCGTATACAAGTTCAGTGGCGGAACATTGGTTA